GACAGTGATGGCCTGGAGCATTTGGGGTTGCTCCGTACCCTCCACTGGTGCCATCTGATACTTAAAAGCCAAAGCGGCGGTACACCAGGAGGATTCTTCTAAGATTACGAATTCTAGCAGAAAACAAGCTCACCTCGTCAGATTGTGCAGCGGGGGAGTCTGGTGAGGGACCGCCACTCTGTGTGCGCGCAGGGGTGGGGTCTGTCTTAGTGGCCGCAGCTGCACAAGGGGCCTGAGACGCCTGGCCACCCAGCAGTTCTCACCCCAAAGTCCCGAGAGCGGACCCTAGGTATGGGGCTGGCTTTGTCCACGACTCGCACACGGACCAGCTGACACTCGGGAGCACACCAAAGACCCGGGCCTGGCCACAAGACAGGCTTGAGAACCCTCACACAAGAGTAAACACCAAAGAGCAGGTGTACCCTTAACTCTTAGAACCACGCCACTTTCCCCTACTCTTGCACACACTGGTCCCTCTTATTAGACTGCCCGTCCATCTCTTATCCCTCTAAAGGACTCTTATGTAGTCTGCAAGACCCAGTAGAAATGCCCATTCCTCTGAAGCCCTTCCTGACCAGATGATGTTTCACTTCACATCCCTGGGCTTCTGGCACAGCCTCTTCTTACCACTTCCGGATCAGACTCAGTACCTTAACTCTTGGCCCTCAAATACAAGTTCTTTTCAGAACACAGAACACGCGGGTCTCTCCTTTAAAAAAAAAAAAGCAACTGCAAGTACATCTCCATGGCCTAAAGTAGTGGTTCTCAAACTTGGGCAAATATCAAAGTCACCTGGGAGGCTCCATAAAATGCAGACTGCTGGGTCCTACCCCAGCATTCCTGGTCCAGGTAAAGCCTGGTCGCTCACGTGCAGGACTAACAAGGATCCAGGCGATACTCATGATGCTCCAACCACCACTGCTGTGCAAGTTCAAGTACAAGCTTTTGCCCTTGGCATTCAGGCCTGAAACAATGTGGCCTCCAATTATTTTACCAGCTTGATCTTTCACAGGCAATCTGACCAGCAAGCACCCAAGCATGCTACACCTTTCCGCCTCCACACTGCTGCCTGTGCCGTCCCTTCCACTTGCCGTCCCCTCCTCAGCCACCAGCTCCCTGCTTCACCTTCCCTGACCTTGATCTGGAACCTGAATCCCACAAAATGAGGGCACAGCAGGGCCAGGGATTTAGCTCCATGGTTCCACCACCTGCCTTGCAAAAGCAAGGTCCTCAGTTCAATCCCACGTACCAAAAAAAAAAAAAAAAAGACACAGCAGCTCTCAAAAGCCTAAATACAGAGTAACAAATGCAGGGGGTGGGGCTCAAAATGAGGAGGGTAAGGAAGGGTTTGGGCCACAGCAATAGCCTTGGATAAGAAAGTACCAGCCAAAAGTGGCAATTTCGGAACAGAAAATTCTGGTGTATCTATTTAAACACCACATGACAATCACAATCCAGTTAACAATTGTGGTTTTTTTTTCTCCATCTGGTTTTCCAGCTTGGCCACTTTCTAGCTGTGTGGCCCGAGGCGACTTACTTAGCTTCTTTGTTTCTCATTTTCTTCCACAAGGCAGGGACAGTTCTCTAATTTACAGACTGTTTTTTCAAATGTTTTTTCTTCTTTAAAGAGATTATAGAAATATTACCTATATTATCATCAGAGAAAAATATGAGAATATACAGAAAAGCAAAAGATAAAAACTATCCAAGTCTTTACACTGGAGATAACCATTCTAGACCATGTCTCAAAAAATAAAAAAGGCCAGGAATGGTGGCATACTCCTGTAATTCCAGCACTAGGGAGACCAAGGCAGAAGGATCACTGTGAATCGGAGGACAACCTGGGCTACACTGTGAGTTCGAGGCCAGCATGAACTGTATAACAAGACTCTGTCTTAAAAAAAAATAAAAGTAAAAATAAATTAAAGATTAAAAAATTAAAGGGTTGGGGATGGAGGTCAGTGGCACTGCACCTGCCTGGCAAGCACAAGGTCCTGAGTTTGAGCCCCAGTACCCCCAAAAAAATTTTTTTAAAGGCTGGAGGTGGAGCTCAGTGCAAAGATCCTGCTTCAATCCCCAGTAGAAACCTGCCCAAAAGGTAAAAATGTTTAATAAAGAGGATCCCAGGGCCAGAGATTTAGCTCAATGGTTCCACTACCTGCCTTGCAAGCACAAGGTTCCAAGTTCGATCCCTAGTACAAAAAAAAAAAAAAAAAAAAAAAAATCAGAGAGGTTCATCATAGTTGTTTACAACAACAAAAATAAAATCAGAAGCAGCCAAAATGCTCAACAATAGAGAATATACAGGAAGATGATGGATTTCTTTGGAAGAATAAAAAAATGAAGATGCAAGTGTTTCTCTAAGGACATAAAAGTTCCAATGGGCTGAGGGTTTGCTCAGTGGTAGAACTCTCACCCAGTGTAAGCCAGGTCCTGGGTTTCATCCCCAGCACATCAAAGCAAAAAAAAATTATAAATTTATCTCAATGATAAAGTGTAAGATAAAGTAACCAGAATGATCATTTTTACTTCTTTAAAATTTCTGTGGGTAAAAATAGTCTAGAAAAATATGTTCTGTTATCAGCGGTTATCTCCAGTGTAAATACTTAGATGGTTTTAACTTTTTTCTTGCTTTTCTGTGTATCCTCGTTTTTCTCTAATGATTAGACATATATACTATCTGTGCAGATTCTTTAAAGAAGAAAGCATTTTTAAAAGCAGCACTGTAAATTAGGGCAGAGAAAACACATAGTCTTAGCTTGCCGGCCTCAGCTGTGTGACTGACTGAGCAAGGGGCCTCCTTTCTGAGCCTCTGTCTCCTCCTCCAGAAAAGGGTGTGCGATTACACACCCGGTGGCTCTCCCTACACTGCTCTACTCCCGAGGTCCCCACAAAGGGATTCGGGCACTGCAGCTGACAGTCATGGGATTGGTTTTACTCCCAGGCTGCCACCTAAGTAGGTCCCCAAGAAGATGCTCCAGGAGGTAGCCTCATTCTGGGGCCAGTAGTTTTAGGGGACAGAGCTCCCAGGAAATCTGCTGCGCTATAAAGTTCCTGTGTTGGAAGCCGGGTCCTCAGCAGGTCATGGTGGAGGAAAGGGACTTTCAGGACTGGTGAGGACTGGTACAAGGTCATGGGTCCTCGGGTCGCTCCCTAGACGGCATTAACAAAGCTCCCTGGCACCCTGGTCTGCCGGCTTCTGTCTTGCAGTGTGATCCCTCCCTCTGCACGAGCGCACACCAGGAAGTCATCTCCTGCGAGGTCCTTGTCAGAGCTGAGCTAGTGCTGGCGCCATGGCCTGGAACCTCTAGAACCACGAGCTCTTTTCTCTATGAAGTACCCAGCCTCTGGAGTTTCATTATAATAAAGCAGTAACAAGCTAACAGCGCCAAGTCTCCAGCCTGGGCCCCCGGCTTCTCCTTGCTGACTTCAGTTGTGAAATGAGAGGGACACACGATGGGAAGCTTTCCGTTGGTTTCTTAAGCACCAGGATCTGTAGCTCAGGCTGGCCTTGAACTCTCTGGCAATCCTCCTGCTTCTGCCTCCCGAGCGCTGGCATGACAGGCGCGCGCCATCACACCGGCTTCAAATGAAACTGATTTCCCCACATAGCAACAATAGTTCTGTCCCTAAACACGAGGCATTCTGTTGCAAAAAATTCAGGACCATTTCCCATTACTTTAAATGGGAAAAAATGATAAAATGTCACCTTTAAGCTCTCTACCAATTTCCTAAAATGTAACTAAAACACAGTAAAACTCTATACACAACATACTATCATGAGAGGATATATAATGCTTAAAACATCCCTTCCTGGCCTGAGGGTACAGCTCAGGGGTAGGGCAGGTGTCAGCCCAAGACCAGCCCCTCCATAAAATCCCTTCCCATTCACTACACAGTTATGAATCCCACTGATCACTGCTGCTATGTGCGATAACACAGCCCCAGACTCCCTCAGGTCCAACAGCTGAGATACCACTATCGGCCTCTCAGCCGCCTTCTCAAAACATCTACACACGATCCTGATGTTCTCCCAACTGCATCTAGAATTTACTTGAGACTTTCCCTGCACATTATTTTGCTTCAGTGTGGTACTTATTTGGCGAGACATAAATAAAGTGTTTGGAATGGGGATCTAGATCAACGGTAAAGCACTTGCCTAGCACATACAAAGCTCTGGGTCCTGCCCTCAGCGCCACACACATGCACACACAAAGACCTTTCACATATAAAACTGGCTTACAGAGATCAGAGAACAGGGGGCTGTGGAAGGGCTCCCTTCTTTGGCACTGCAGCAGCTGCAGAACAGATGTTAATTCCACAAATAACAGAATAGCCAGCGCCTACCCAGCTCTTAGGTGGGCCCAGCACTGTTCTCGGCACTTGTCAGGAATAGACTCATTAATCCCGCAACCACTCCATTAGCTGGGTACTACAGAGTAGGTAACCCTTTTCCACAATGCTTGGGACCAGGAGTATTTCAGATTTTGGACTATTTCAGATCTGGACCATTTCAGATTTCAGACTGTTTACATATATTTTACTAATTGAATATCCTTAATCTGAAGAACAGAAATCCAAAATGCTCTCCAACCTGATACTTTTTGAGTACTGTTCATATTTTAGAGTGATTTCTATTTCAGATTTATGGATCAAGGTGGCTCATTCTGTATTTTTCATCCCATTATACAGTTGGAGAGACCAAGGCACTGACAACCTTAAAAGAGTGTCTAGGTTGACCCCGATTATAAGCAGCAGCCCTGAAATCTAAGGACAGACACCAGCGCTCCGGAATTCCCTCCTACTCCGAACCACTGTTCCTCTTCCCAATAGGCGAGACTCCACGGGAAGGGCAGGGCAGGGGCCCCAGAGCCCCCCACCGCAACTGCTCTTCACCCCAGCCCTCGCCCTCATAGAGATGCCAAGGAAGAGCTGAAGACCACGCCAGCTCCAGAGCACCATGCCACGGGGGCTGAGGGACAGCAGGGCAGTGCCCTTACCCACAGCTTCCCATCATGGTAGTAGGCTCCCAGGAGCTTCACGATATAGGGGTGGTCACAAGTGGCCAGGATCTCAATCTCCACGATGTAGTCTTCAAGCTCCTCCTCACTCTTGGTCTCGATGACTTTGGCAGCAGCCAAGGCACCCGTCTCCTTATTCTTGGCCTGCAAAGGGAGACACAAAGGTCAGGAGGGCAGCTGGGCAGGAAGCTGACCCCTGGAAGGCAGGCCGGGGAGCCCTGCATGAGTGTGAAAACAGAGGCCAGATGTCCAGCGCAACTGAGACGATGGCCAGGACAGACACTGTTCCTGACCAGGGCCAGGGCCACACATCATGTCCACACAGGAGAATACGTATCAGAAACAACGTTCTGTGTTTAGTAATAATAACACAAGTACAACAGATCCATTCTGTGAAATAAATAAAATACGAGAATAGGTTAGTACTACAGATGCCAGCATGGAAAGATCGGTTGGTGATTTGTTCAGTGAAACGATCCCAGTCACTACACAGTAAAAGTGGCACAAAACAGAAAACTGCCAAGTGTGGTGGCACATGCTCGTAATCCCAGCTACTTGAGAGGCTGAGTCAGGAAGATTGCAAGTTTGAGGCCAGCTTGGGCAATTTAGCAGGGTCTTGTCTCAAAAAATTAAAAGAAAAAGAGCAAGGGTTGGGGATTTAGCCCAGTTCAGTTCTGCCGCCTGCCTTGCAAGAGCAAGGACCTGTGTTCGATCCCCGGTACCTAAATAAATAAGAGCAAGGGATATAGCTCGTGATAGAGTACTTGCATAGTATACACAAGACCCCGAGTTCTATCCCCAGCACCACACATACACACACCCACACACACAATCCAAAAAGAAAACTAAAGAAAAAAACTGTATTTTCATACACATTCACATGTGTCTGTAAATACATGGAAAACTATGCAAAGACAGTGCCTGACAGATGGTTGGGGAGGGACCCGAAGATGGAGAAGGGTTGCTGGGCACTTTTATCCTCTCCACACTGCTGGAAAAGTGTGAAGAGAAATGCGATCGTTTATTTGCATCGTTTCACACATCAAAACGAAGAGCTGGGGGTACGGCTGAGCGGCAATGACGGCAAGTGCTTCCCTAGCATGCACAAGGCCTTGGTTTGAGTCTCAGCACTGTAAAGAAATTTTAAAAAGTAGAATGAAAAAGACTGTTATGTAAATGCCCATTTTCAGTGGAATTTCCCCCAGATGCATGTCACCTGGGCAACACAGCTTCTTTATTTTTTTAGACAGGATCTCACTAAGTTGCTCAGGGTCCCTTCATTAAAAGGAGCAAAATTTGGACACATGCCATGCCATGGGTAAATCTTTAAAACATTGTGCTAAGTGAAATAAGCCAGGCCCAGGGATTTAGCTCAGTGGTACCGCACCTGCCTCACAGGCGCAAGGTCCTGAGTTGGATCCCCAGTACCAAAAAAAAAAAAAAAAAGAAAGAAAAAAAAGAAAGAAAGATAAAGAAAAGCCAGACAGAAAAGACCAAACACCATAAGATCCCACTTATTATGAGATAAATTCATAGGTGGGGAAGGGGAAAGTGAGGAGTTTCTGTTTGGTGGGTACAGAGTGTTTGCTCGGGATGATGAAAAATTTGGACTATAGATGGGTGATGGCTACCCAACATGTGGATGAACTTAATGCCATAGAACTGTACACCCATGAAAGGCGAACTCACTGAGCATGATATATATATATATATATCACCAATATTCAAAAGAGTGTAAGAGAGAAATAACGATCCAAGCAGTGCAAGCAGCCCACCTCATTCCACAACATGAGCTGGGATCCCGGAAATGGGAAGCAATGCCACAGCTCCCCCAGGTGTCCTAAGGGCCAGGAGGATGCTGTGTGAGCATCCTCCCCTGCCACGAGAGTCTAGGGTCAGAAGAAAAGGGTACATTTTGTGACAATAGGGCCCCTAGAAGCGAGCTGCTCATCTGGAGACTGAGGAGCCAGGGAAAACGGGCCTTGTGGGGCTCTGTGAACGCCTCAGAGCTGGTCCCTAGCCCAGTGTCTTCCTGAGGATGCTACTGATTGATCCACTCTTGTTCTACATAATGATTATGGACACTGATGCCACCGAGAATGATGGCAGCAGAGTCAATCCTGTGCGCCTTGCCTCAGGAGACAGAGACACATTCTCCACCATGTGATCAGAACCCAGCACCCAGCAGCCCAATTTCCCCACTCCAAGATAAATCAGAGAGCAGACGTGACCAGAATGAGGACAGTGGCACCAAGATTTGGGTCTGGGTCACCTAACTTCAAAGACTTTCTGCTCCTGCACCATGTTCACACTCGACAGGGACCCCATTGGACAGGGACAGAGCCTCCCTCTCCCAGGCCTTGGGCGGGTCCTGGCCTAGTTGGAGAAATCCCTTCCCCTAAGAGGGACGAGATCGTGTGCTTAGAATGGGAGGTGGGACCTTGGAGAGGCTCCCAATCCCACCCCGGAGCCTTCCAGAAGGAAATGACGCATGGGAGTGATGCAAACAGGCCATTTTTATGTTCATTTGCTTTTTATATATTTAATCTCAGTCTAGGTACATTTTTTTTTGTTCATTGAACTGCAAAGTCCCTGGAGTCCCATAGAGTAATGACCACAGCTGCGCATTTATCAGGGCCCCTCCACACAGCAGTGGTCTACACTTCCCACACTGTGTGTCAACTCACTCGTCGCCTCCACCACCCTCTGATGCCAGCGCTATTCTCACGCCATGTACAGAGGAGAAGACTGAGGCAGAGTCCCTGATAAAGTAGCAATGTGGATCTGGACTGCTGCTAGGTCTGGCCCCAAATCCACACTCTTCCTCTGTCAAGTCCCTCCCAGGCCAGAGGCTCTGAAACCTCCAGCCACCCCAGGCAGGAGTCCAGGCCAGGGCAGAGAATGGCACAAGAGGCCAGGTCTTGTCCTGGAATTTGCCTGCTCGTCAGCCCAACCTGTGGGGTCTTCGCTCCTAAACTGAACTTGAAAGTTTGTTCAGAACACCTTAGAAACCTATCAATTAAGCAACTGGACACCCCTCCGCCAGCACACACACAACTGCCTCTACACCTGCCTTGAGCTTTCTTGTACAGCTGATTTTTTAAAAATGGCTCTACCAGGGAACTGGCAAAGAATCCTTTCACTTCTGTACAACACTCCTCCCACTCCGCCTCCTCCCCATCCTCACCCTCCTCTCTGAGCCAAGAAGGGAAGTCGGGCAGCTCTGCTCCTTCGCAGAGAAAAAGGCTGGGGGCTAAGAGGGCTGGCCAGGGCTGCAGCAAGGTGGCCACAGAAACCACCTCGACCATGGTGACCAGGCTGAGGCTGGCCCCTTGGTCACTCACCTTTCACTCCTGAGAGCTGGTGAGGAAGGCTGCCTGCCACTTTCCCCAGGGGCTTCCTGCAAAGGGATGATTTCCCCCAACGGTGGAGGAAGTGAGGGCTATTTTCCAGGAGAGCACAAAACTGAAAGGCAGCATTGACCACAGGGCTGCCCGGGCCTTCAGCAGGTGCCAGTGTCAACACGAGGAAAGAAGCCTGCCCCTCACCCTGCTCGATTTTACAGACACTAGAGACTACGGCGGGCAGGGGCTGGAGGGAGAAACCATGACGTGGCCAAAGTGAAATTCTTCCTAATCTGGTTGAGGCAACAGTCCATCACTGTGAGGCCACAGGGACGTAATAATGTGGACAATTAAAACACTTGACACTGCCAGAGCGCTCACAGCCAGCCAGTCCTTGAAGACAAATGCTATGGTCCTCATTCAACAGGTGAGGAAACTGCGATTCAGAGAGTCATACGATTTGTCTCAGGCCACACAGCTAACAGGGAGATAAAGACAGGAACCACACACGAGCCTGCTTGGATCCAAGATCCTGAGCTCCAAATCACACCCGAAAGCCCTTTCTTGGTCCGTGCCCAGGGCTCCCTACTCCATCTCCCTTTGCTAAAGGTAAAAGCCAACCACATCCAACAGCAACAGCTCACACAGGGACTGCATTGCAGATGCTGACTGCCAGGATTTTAATCCACCCGCAAGTCACTGAGGCTGACATTGCTTGTAGTGCACATTTCCCAGACAGGTAGACCCAGGCTTGAAGTACTGGGAAACACCCAAGGCTGTGAGTTATGGAGGTGCCTGACTCTCAGTCTAGAGTTCTCTTTACTACACTGTGCTGACAGGAAGCAGCTTATTTCCTATTCCTTCTTTCACTCATTCACTCATTGATTCAATCATTATTTACTGGTTAACGTGAGGCATTACTTACTGAAAGTAGCGTGAGGCACTTCTAACAAACAAGTCCTAGGACTGAGATGGCGAACCTTCCTGAGCGTTCAATAATAACAAACAGCCTGCTACGGCACTCATGCCATAGGTTTGTCACCACTGTCCAACGAGAATGTGCTGTGGAAATTATGGTGCCCCACCCCCTCATAACATAATCCACCCTTCCTTCCTTGGTTTTTCCTTAGCACAGCCAGACTGGTTCCTTTCCAATCCCTAGGTTGTAACAGAACTAACTCCATGCCACTAACTAGAACCGTGTGGGTGATTCATCCTGGCCAATGAGAACCCTGCCTTCTCTCTAGCCACGGTGACTGGCTCAAGAACAGACAAACTAAGACCAACTGCTAAGACAGGCGCAATTGCCTTACAGCCCTCCTTTTCTGAGTCTGCAGCCTGGGGACACCATGCCCCTAAAGGCACCCTGAAATTGAGTCACAGGCCTTAGAGCTGAGAACACTGCTTGATTCCCTCCATTTTTTTTTTTGTTTTGTTTTTGGTGACACCATGAATCGAACTCAGGACCTTGCACTTGCAAGGCAGGTGCGGTGCCACAGAGCTAAATCCCTGGCCCTATTCCCTCAATTTTTATAACTCTCTCTATATAGATCATCAACCCCACTTTTTTCCTTTCCTTTTTTTTTTTTTCAGTGTTTTGTGAGAGGTCTCACTATGTAGTCCAGGCGGACCTCAAACTCACTATGCAGCCCAGGCTCAAACTCGTGACAATCCTCCTGTCTCAGCCTCCAGAGTGTTGGGATTACAGGTGTGTGCTATCTTGCCCAGCCCCATTTTATTTGCAAGAAAAATGATGACCAGATACAGTGGAACCTGACTGTATAGTTTCAGCTACTTGGG